AGGCCAGCTTCCTCGCCCCAGCCAATGGAGCTCTCGCACTCGTCCAGCGTAAGCGATTTGAGCGTATTCCATTGCAAATATCGTGGCAGATCGCCGCCATGCTTGATGCGACCCCAGCCAGAGATGATGACATCGACACCGCCTGGCGTATTTTTGGTGGGCAGCGCTATCGGCTGTATATTTTCCGAGTAGATGAACGGCTTCTCGACACGCATCACGGCCACATCATTCAAGAAGTTGCCATAGTTCTCATGGGCCACAATCTCCACAATGTTGCGCAACTCACCGCCGCTTAGCCGATCATTGCTGCCGGCGCGCACAGTTATCTGGCTGGCTGGGTAGACCTGGTTCGTTCCACTGGCATCCTCATAGACCACACAATGCGCTGCCGTTAACACATAGTTGCGTGATATAATTGAGCCGCCGCAGCTATGGGAGCCACGATTGCGCAATGAAATCTGATGCGGAAACTGCGCCCTGGCTGCATCCTCGCCGCCCACGACACGGCCGCTGCTGCCGTTGCTGTTGCTGCTGCTGACAGCTACTGAAATAGCTGCTGGAACAGCGGCTGGCTGACAGGCAGCAGTCAATAGCACAACTAACCCAATAACTGGCAACAAATTGGTAATCATCTTGACTGATTCACAGCAGTGGCCATCGAGAGGCTTTTATAGACAGCGCCTTATTCTTTAAGCCTTGGTTATTTATAAGCCAACAGTTTATCAAAATTTTTGTTTTTCTTTTCTTTTTTTTGTTTTTGCAGCACTAACGATAACACATATCTTTTGACATAGCACTGCAAGATTTATGCAGCCCGCGTGTCGCGTGTTATCATTATCATTATCATTATCATTGTCATTGTCATTATCTACGCTTGGGTTTATTATTGTGATAGATTTTTTGTTCTAAAATATGTCATTCGTTATTGCTGCCTATATATATCTTCAAATAATTAAATAGTCCAAAAGACTGTCCACTTAAGCAAAGGTTGTGCAAATTCATAGCCGGCTACGAGATACTCTGAACGCAGCGTTGAGCTGCCTCATATTGGGTCTGTGGATCTTTATTAACTTCGGTCTTTATGGAAATTATACCAAGGCTTTTACTTAAAAGGTATCCAATATAAGAAATATTTTGAATAGATGCATTCAAACGGACAGACATGACTAGATCGACTCGTCGCGATCCAGAAAACAAATACTTTAGCTGCTTCCTTCAGCCTGTTTCAAACACATGCACAACACAATTGAACCCTTTCAACCCAATTTTAGGCTCAACTAAATGTTCTATTTAATGACATTTTGTTGTTGTTGTTGTTTCTCTGTGTCTCACCTGCATTTGCGTTAATTGGCTGTTGCAGCTGCAAATTTGAATAAATGAAAAACAAAATTCGCAATTTGCTCAGTCAGTGGAAAATAATTGTAATGTCAAAAATATTTAAACATTTTGCTGTGCTCAATAAGTTTGTCACTTATTAAACTTTTTTGCTTTAATTAAAACAACATTAAAATAATTGAAAAATGTTTACACTTCGATTCAAATTAAATTTGATTGCCACACAAAAAGTTGCTACACATTTTTCAGCTGTGGAGATAAGGTGCTTACAATTTGAAGAATATATACATATCAGAATACATATATGTATATACAAGCTCATCTTAATTAAAGTTAAGCTTGTGCTTACACACACACAAATACACAGGTGACACAAGAATGCGCCCAAGTGTATAGATGATATTAACTCTCTGTTTGTATGTAGATGTAAATACACATAAATAAATACGCTCGAAATTCTTACTCTGTATCAAACATTTGGTTCCCAGAATCGATTTCTCTTCAAAATTGTACAAATTGGGTGGTGCAGCTAGAACCGACTGTTAATAGGATTGTGGTATACTTACAGTGTGATACTAAGAGTACGACATTAACAGCATGTTATTAACAGTGTGACACTAACAGTACGATCTTAACAGTGCTTCTTTTAAAGTATATTATTAACAGAATGACAGTGCCAATCTTTAACAGGATGTCATAAACAATATTACAGCATGTCAGTGACAGAATGTTATTATTATTATTTATTTATATATACATATGATGTATTTATTCTTATTGACATTAACATATGAACAATGCACAAAGAGTTTCATTGTTTATATTGAAATTCGTTTTCTACTCTGTAAAATTAAAAAAATTTCCACTGGCATTTTTAGATGTACTCTATTCAAAAACAACTTTTCATTAATGTTATTTTATAAGCGACTGTACACAAGTCAGCTTCTGTTTGAAGCTTAGCTCGAAGAAAATAAAATGGTTGAATTTTACACATTTCCACCTTGCAATCTGTCGAATTACATTTTTTTGTTGTTTCTTTTGGAACATGCCGCTAGCAATCAGAAACGGACACACACACACACACACACACACGCGTATTCGCATGGATATTCACTTACTCATACGTGTTCGTGTGTGTATTCGCATTCGTATTGAAGTGTGGGATGCTACTTTTGCCGCAGGAAGCGGTCGCAGCTGTGGGTTTTAAAATTTCAATTCATTTCCGTTGTGCATACGCACACGCCCCCACACGCACACGTACGCATGCATACTATATGTCAATATATACATATGCATGTATGCGTGCATACACATAAAAAAAAAAACAACAAGCTGCGCCTAAATGGAAGACAACAGCGGTAGCAACACCAGAAACAACAAAAACAACAACAACAGCAACAACAAGAATAACAACCGCAACTACAACAACAAACAGGCGGCCCAGGGCAGACCGGCAATTTATGTGCCAAAAATATCGAACGGGTGATCCATACGCTTTTTGGGGGGGGGGGGGGGGGGGGGGGTACAAGCCTGCAACTAGGAGTCGACGATATCCCTATCCCAGCTATACGGGTATTATTACGGGTGCGTGCGACACTTTTACGTTTAAAATGTTAAATGCTTCAAGTCAAAAATTCAATAAATGTCTGGCATGCTGTGGGCGTTGCCAGACGATGTTCTCGTTGCGCAGCTACAAATTAAACGTGGAGTGGGTGAAACTCGGCCAGAATTTAAGCCATAGCACTATGGGGAGTTTTAACGGCTTATCTGGCAATGGGCCATTTTTTTTTTTTTTAAAGTGCTTAAGATAAAAAGCGTGCATAAGAAACACATCCAACTGCCATGTGCATTACCAGAATTGTTAACATGATTGAAAGCTGTTAAGATAAAAGCTGTTAAGCATAGCGTATGTACGTGTTTGAATTGCCTGAATTTTGTTTGGCTGATTTTGAAGTTATTTAAATTTAATTAACTAAAGCCTAAAGCGTAATTAATGGATTCTTATCTGTATATAGTATCTTAATATTTAAGTTTGGTTAGGAACTTCATCTCAGGCAAAGGTGCAGCTCACGCCTGATAGATTTATAAGGTCTGTGTATCATGAAGAGCTGAACAGATAGGATATAACTATATTTAATATGATATGTTAATATGGCTTATTAAATTCAAAATAAATCAAAAAGTTCGATTGAGTTTACGAACAGAGGATTCATATGTTGCTGCTTGAACCATTTTGTTTTAATGATTCGATAAAACCTCTTATCGATAGTTGTCCCACGCGTCTGCATGTATGTGGATTGTGCTAGCATGAATATTTCTAATAAGTATATATGCACTTATTTTAGGCTTATTCTATTTAATTAACTATAGAAAACGGGCTCTGAAGTTGCATAAAATGCTTCATTAAAATATGTGTGTGTACTCTTAACACGCGCTTGTATTTGTTGCAGTTGCCACAATGATGGTGGTCAAGAAGGGGAGGGGGGGCTGTCCATGTCTATAAAGGTAACCTTCTTAATTTGTTATGGCTGCCATTTTTGGGTCACACGTAAATGGGCGCGGCTCAGTGGCCTGGCTGCGGTGCCTGCCACTGGCCGGGCATGCCCCGGCAGCAACCTCTGGCAACATAGACCCGTTGTCCTGCCGTCCTGTTGTTCCCTCTGTGTGTTAGTGTGTGTGTGTGTGTGTTGTTCTGGATGAAAGTCCAGCTGCCGTTCGCAACGTCCCATCTTTGTAGGAAGTGCCTCAAGCGTTGGCGCTGTATGCGGCTTGTCACTTTGCGTTATCCACGTTTTGTTTCAGCGCTCCTCGTACTGTTATTGTTGTTGCTGTTGTTGTTGTAGTTGTTGCTGTTGTTGGCATATTTGCATTGCGGTGTCGCCGCCGCTGCTTTTGCAACTTTGCATTGTTTACTTTTTGTTTGGTTTTCAGCTAAAACTTTGTTGTTGCTGCCTTTTTTGCCACTCTGTCAGTTTTTGCCGCTGCTTCCATTTTGGCAGGCTCGAAAGTAAACTAAAGCAAAAACCAAACAACTTAACAGCCAAAGCAACAGCGACGCTTGCTGCGGTCAGATAAGCAATACGAATATATGTATATACATAGATATACATATATACCATAATGGAGTAGCAGATATACATACATACATACATATATTTAGCTTGAGCTATAGCTAGTTGGCTCGAGGTATGTATATTTTTCATCGTTTGCTATTATTTAGCTTTAATTCCCGTTGCTCGTTAGTATGCTCTGCTTGGGGTTTTTTTTTTCTTAACACTCGAGTGAATTGCTTTCAATAAAAATGTTAGCTGCTGCATGTTTATTATAAGACGGTTTGTCACCTTACCAGGTGTTTTGCAACAAACATTTACCATGCTGCTTTCAGGTACCGTTGTTGTGGCTGTGCCCACGCTAAACAAACAGAAATATAATTGGTTTGCCTGTCATTTTAGCATAATACGAACAGCGGCAACAATAACAGCAAAGACAACAACAACAGCAGCAAGTAGTGTTAACAGGCACTTAACAGAGCTGCAAAATTAGGTAGAGAAAGAATATAAACTTAAACATTCGAGCGAGATTCAAAAGTCTACTTCATTTGCAGCGCATATGCTTCTGTACAGGCATACATACATATGTATATAAAATTATACATACATACATACAGACATGAGAATGAGGCGAACACAGTAAACAACCAAAACGGTTCAGCAGCAGTTGAGTTAAATGTTACGGTAGATCAGTACAGTGCAGTGAAGTGGACAGAAAACAGTAAAAATCCACCATACATAAAACAGAAACAATTCAATCGCTGATAAAATTTTATAAGCCGAAAGTAAGCAACATGTTCTAATATATTTAACGTAATATGTGTGGATATAGTTAACAAATGAAATCGTTTGCAAATCGGCCAGAACACAAATTTTAATTATGTACCAATACAATAAAATTCTAAGCGGCCCAACAACAAATATTAATAGAAATGAAAAAGTGTATAAAAAGAAGAAGAAGAAGAAAAAAGCGCCAACAGAAGGGCAGGCATTCGACTTCGCCTTTGCATATGGGTGAGTGGCTTTTATGTGTTATAATTTTATTACATATACATACATACATACATACATACATACATATATATTATATTCGAGTGTTCACACATAATCTTGTCCAAGCTCTGAATTTTGTCGCATGCCATTTTTGTCATCTCTTATCTATTACAACAATAATAGCTGCCTGTGAGGCTTTCTGTGTGTATACGCTAATGCAACGGTGAATTTTATGACTTTTTGCGTTTTTGCTTTGATCTGCTGCTGTCCGACAAACTGCGGACTACAGTGAACGCTCGCTGCAAGTAACGTTAAATGTGTTAATTGTGTTTTGTTAACATGAACTTTTGATCATATTCTTGTGAAGGGTCTTGAATATACACATACATGTATATGATCAAGTGATGAATATTAGCAGGCAGGTCAATATAGCCATGCTTGCCTGTTCCTCTGTCTGTTTACATATACATATGTATTCAAAATAGTCTCTCACTTTAAAAGCTATCGTCGTAAAGCTTTTGCGTATGTCCGCCTCTTCTGTTATAAAAGAAGAAGAGGAATTTGTCGAATTACCATATTGTGCATATTACATGCAAAATGCTTTTGCTTTTAAATATATTTGACTATTCCCCTCACATTTTGGACCTTTTCCAATTGAAGTAACAGATTATATGGCTTCTATTTTGGTCGGAAATAAAGCTTTTCTTCAAATGTGTTTTAATGCCACGTGTCCACATGCCGCTTTGTCTTTTGCTAGTGCCAAAAATAAATGCATCCTTTTTTTTCTGAATTATTATAAAAAAAAAAAAGAAAAAATTGTTCGTGCGTGCAGAGCCGCGTTTCTATGCACATGTAACTACATGGAAACAGAGTATCTGATGCACACTTGAGCACAAATGCGCCTGGCAAAAACAGTCCGGAAAAGTGACTTGGATAACTATAAGGAAAATACAAAATAAATGGAAAACTACGCGCTCGCAACTAATGTGGCGAAATGTTATTAAAAGCCAACACGACTGTTCAAATGCTCTGCAAAGCTCAGCTTTGCGGCCAAGCCATGGCTAGTTGGTTATAAAAAACGGCTGGAGGGGCTGGGGATGGGTGCTCAGCAGTCCAGCAGCGAAATAGTTAGTCGCCAGCTAAGTCGGCTGCTGTTGCTGCTGCTAAAGGGCATATCGGAACATTCTATTGGGCGGCAAGAGACACAGACAGTGTTAGAGTGTGTGTGTGAGAGGGAGAGTGAGAGAGAGAGAGAGAGTGAGAGAGAGAGAAAGAGAGAGAGAGCGAGTGAGGAAGGCAAAGCTTTGTTTGCTTTTGGCTGTTGACTGTCGACCTGCCGCCAAAATGGTTAAAAAAGAAAATTGAGCGCAAAATGCTTAACAAATATTTTATGACTACGAAGTTCAAACGCTTAAATGAGACCCACACATGTTGTTGTATTTATGTTATTTTTGTTGCTATACCCTAAAACCGTTAAAAATGGCTAAAGAGGGTATCACGGTTTTGTGGCAGCCCAAAAGAAAACTATTCCGATTCCATAACTAACATATATTCTCGATTAGAACAGAACAGAATATAACATATAACAGATCAGAGCAGAACAGCTGTTCGAGTCGATCCAGCTATGTTCAACTGTCTCCAGACTTACATTTAAAATACATTTTCTCGTTTGTCAGTTTTTCGTACGATATATACATATCTCCCATCTTTATAAGGATAAACATATATTGATTTGCAGACATGGTTTTAAAGACATAGACACCAAAATTGCTAAATGGGTTCTCGTGTATTAAACACAGACCAAGAATATTTCACTTTTCGAATAACGTTTCCCAATTTCACCAAAGTCAGTAAAAAAACCTCATTCATAAACTGAAACCCAACAGCTGCGGTATATGCACACAATTGGGTGCTATATCTGGGCGCTGAAAATTTCGAAAGGATTCTACTGTAAATACCGAAGTTATTCAAGACTGACTTTCCTATAATGGGGGAGCCTGGATGAAGAAGAAGCTTGTGTGTGCGTGTGTGTATATGAAATAAGTTTGGAATGCTTGCAATTGCTGCTCGAGGCCAGGTACAGGGTATTTGCCAGTTGGGCACACTCGACTCGAGCGCTCTTGCTTATTGTTGTTGTAGTTGTTACTGGCAAATTACCCAAAAAGCCAACAGCAGCCAACTATTTTGTAAGCAACAACAACGCATCGTACACACATACATATATATTTCCCGGACCAGTTCGTGCTGTTGCTGTTGCTGCAGCTGTTGTTGTTGTTGTTGTTGGTTCTGATTCTGGCTCTGGTCCTGGTCCTAGCCATGTCTGTTAGCGGCTCCCACCGGCTGTTGTTGGTTATATTATGCGCTGCATCGCTGCCGCCAAAAAATTGTTTGAAATTCCTAACAAAGCATTTTAACAATTTGCTGACATTATAACGGCGACAAGTTGACTTGAGAGTCAATAAACTGTTAACTAAAAACAACAAAAAATAAAAATAAAAAAAAAATAAAAATGAAATAAATAAATAAAAACAAAAACAAAATGCGCCAAAGTGAAAAGTGTAAAAAGTGCTGATAGTAATAGACTAGAAAGACGTGCATCAATAGCGCCCGCTCCCTCCGCCCCATAACAGCTCGTCGCACCCAACGACCCGGCCAGCCCAGCTTGGAGCAGGCACGGCACGGGCATTGGTTGGGCGACGTCATCGTCATTGCATTGTCGAAAAAGTTTGCACAAAATTCTTTTGGAGACGACGATCAAAGATGACATCGTCGGTATCTCGCAACATAAATAGCATGGAACTTCATTAAAGCGATAAAAATCGAGAGACAAAAGCTGACGCCGTTATCCTTCGCCCCGGAAAAACCGTCGATAGTATTGTTCAAAAGCTCAAAGGCAGCTGCCATAATCGAAAATCAAAACTTCGCATTTTGAAACTTTTACAGTCTTTCGTAATTCATAAAAGCTAACGAGAACTTTTCGATGCATTTAATTAAAACTGTGTGCATACTACATACCCTGTAATCAGACCAAATACACATTCAATTTTATATATAAAATATGTATATATATTGTTATACATATTATGGCATATACTAAGTATTATTATGCGCCTGAAATGTGACTTCTTGCAGAAGAAGACTTCTTCGACCCCAAAAAGTATATATATAACTTAATCTATGTCTGTCTGTTTCTTAGTCACGTTGATGTCGATAACTCGACACGTTTCTATGAAATCGATTCAAATCGACATTGATATCCAGTTTCTTGTACCTTATTTCGGAGAATGTCTTGGAATCTGCACAGATTCTGCATATATTCTCTCTGTCCCTTAAGGCATAGTCCTGGGTCTAGTCCTAATAGAGCACTGTTACTTGATAAACTAATGTTTGCTTTGAAATTATAAAATGAAAGGCTACAGTAATGTTGCTATAGCATCATCATTATCATCAGCATCATCATCATTATTATCAGCAGCAGCAGCAGCAGCAGCAGTTGCCTCATCATCATCAATATTAGAATGCGCTGTGGATACGCCACAAAGTATGCAGCAGCAATTTATTAAAGCTTTTGGCTCTCGCTTATGTTAAGCCCTGAGTGCTCGGGTGTGGCATGCAATAGTTATAAGTTTTATTTTGTATATTTGTATATATATATTATTTTGTTCTGTTGCTTATGGTAACATTAGTTGTAAAGTGCTGTTTTTGTACGCTCGAATTTGATAACATTATGGAGCCTCGAGTGCATGCATATGCGTAATTTCGTGCTATGATGTATGCAATCTAGGTGCAGCTGCTTTGAGACACGCGAGCCTGGGTAATCAGCAAAAGAGAGAAAGGGAGATGGAGGGAAAAGCATTATGATGTGGCAGCCAGACAGTGGGCTATATCAATCAGGAAGCTGCCATTTTAATTGATATTGTTTGGGCGTTGTTTAAATTAAACTCTGGCTGGCAATAAACCGAAGCGCAATTAACGCGTGCGTTCCACAAATCGAATTCGCCGCAAAATTGTGTGTTAATAATGTTTCATTGGGAAAAACGCGAAAACATATAAGCCAATCGCATTTGGATGTAACCTCTAGCGCAATTCCGATCAATTAACAAACTATTACCCCAGACAATGATGATTTTAGCAAAATATGAAGAGTACACGTTACATATGTTTGAATCTACCCCATAAAAAAGCAGACACCAGAATTAAATTTCTGAGAGCATTTACTACAAAAATAAATTATTTTCAATTCAAGTCTAGCCTCCGTCTTTCTGTATGTACGAAGTTATCTACATTTTTATGAGATAGGTCTGGGTAATTTAATAACTTTTGGAACAACTCTTTTTTTTTCCATTTATGTATACAAATTATGCATCTATGTAGATGAAGTATATTGCGTGCTTACTTACACCAAGCCATTAATTTGATCATCTAGTAGCCAGCGCACTGAAAATAATATATTATGACAACAACAACAACAACAACAAAATTTTATAATTATTATGCCCTGTATCCATTCAAAATGTGTAAAAAGAAAGTATATTGATTTGTGTTAAAGTATGCGACGGGCAGGAGCAGACTTTACTGGTCCCGGAACTTCGCGTTGATCTCCGTAACAAAAAGATCTAGAGATCTAGAGACTTCGAATATGATTATATTTCATATTCTATTTGAGCCTAGTCAAAATCCTGGACTTTGAGAATATCCCATAGGTTACTAGACCTAAATAGTTACAAGTTTTGTAAATCCTCAAATGATTTTAACTACAACTAAGATAAGATAAAGATATCGCTAAGAAATATCGAATATTATTTAATTTAACTTTACCCCTTGTGTGTATATATATATATATCGTATCTGGGTATCTGGTATCAGTATATATATATGGTATGTGGGAGTCGGGCACGGCCCAACATATTTTTGTGTGCATTTATTTCTCGCTGTTGCAAGTGTGGCATGCCAACGTTAGCCGACACATGGCTGAATGCTGCAAAAAAACAAGTGGGGAAAACGCATGAATAAATTAATTA